TTGCTGTATTAAAAAATTAATGGTCTCTATATCCCATGTAAACACCAGTAACTGATGGGTACTGTTCTCTAATTTTTAAAACCACACAGGATGGACAAATTCGTCTATTCCCTTTGCCTAGAAAGCCATGGCGTACTAGAATGAACTGTCTATAACCAGCTTTGCGAAATGCTGTTGTGCTGTTGTCCTCTCTATCGTTACGGATGTCACTCCTATTGCGGATACAAAGCTCCAGCACATCTGGATCAAGGCATAATTTTGCAAAACGAGAAATTAAGGTTATGCATTTCTTTTGCCTACAGCATTTATTTTCAACCTCTTGTGGCATTGGTCTGCATTTGCCACATGTGCACCAATCTGGCACTGATTCAAGTGTGGGTTCGAGTGTTGGATTTGGGTCTTGTGATTGAGAAGGGCTCTGACTCTGAGAAGGGTCTATAGCAGAGTTCAATGGATTGTTATTGGATGATTCATCAAATGCACCTAACCTTTCTGCATCCTGATCATCTTCATCAAGGTCATCCTCCATTATCAGTAGTGTGTCGATGTAGTCCATACTACCAACACCTCTGAGTAAACTACGAATAGCTAGCTTTTTCACCATATTTGCGTCCAGTGTAGATATTAATTCCTAAAATAAATACAGTAGAACAAGATTGTTATCAATGCAAACCCTGACAAGACATTGTATACTGTATATGTTATGCTATTATATGTGTAGTAATAATATGAAATCATCAATTGTTATTTTTATATAATTAAATATTATTTTAAGGTGAAGTTCATACCTTCACATTTTCGTGTTCTTTTTCCCTTTGAATGTCCTCCGACTCTGTAGTTGCGTGTGTAAGGCGAAAACCTTGTCTTGGATTTCCTGCTGTTTTGCGTTTGTGTCTTTCATCGGCCGTTCCCTATACCAAAATCAGACAAATTATTCATTATGCTTCCTGGAATATTAACAAAGTTGTGAACATATAAAAGTTTAGATTGCTTTACCTTATTTTGGCGTGCAAAGGATCACTGGCATGATAGTCATTCTTTAAGTTAACCTAATTAAAATGTGCTTCCAAGATCCCGTAGGTCATCTGGGTCAGATGAATATAAAACATAAAGTAATAGTCACCCGACTGTCTCCCTCAATCCGGCACTCTGCATGTTAGAACAACAGGGCTCTTTTAGGTTCAGTTCAAGCCAGCCAATATTACACCACTGCCCATGCAGTAGTCATTCACAAATTGGACTTTTGTAATGTTGGTGCCTCTCTCCACCCATGACATGTTTTTAAGACGTTTTTAAGACGTAGTGAATAAACATGCCCCGATAAAGGAGACTAGAATTGGTAAAAAGATCCCCTTGGATCACTCCTAATATACTACAACAAATGCGTTCAAGAGATTATTTTAAAAAGATGTTTGAAACCACTAATGACATTTCTACTTGGAATTTATATAAGAAAGCTAGGAACGAAGTGAACAACAATCTGAAACAATCGAAACGTGACTATTTCAGTACCAATCTTGACTTAGCAAAAAACACCCGAAGAAAACCATGAATCTTATAAATCAACTTAGTTCTCGTAATGTTAGCAAACGCTCTACTGTTAATAGAGTTGACTTTAATGGTGCAGAAGTAACCGATACGCATGAAATGACTGAGGCATTCACCGAGATAGGTGAAAATCTGGCTGAAAGTATTCCTATAACTGATGTCAACCCAATCTCTTATATTAACTCTACAAATAGTGTGTTTTCCTTCAAGGCAACTGAGGTAAACTATGTTAAAGATTTGCTTGGAAGAATAAACACAAAACAATCTAGTGGTCCCGACAAATTATTAAAGCTAGCTAGGGATGTTGTATCCCCTTCCCTGACGCATATATTTAACAAATCACCTTGCACTAGTATATACCCAAAAGAATGGAAAATTGCCAATGTTACACCTATCCATAAAGATGGTGCTAAACACGACCTCAACAATTATCGTCCAATCTCAATTATTTCAGTCGTTGCAAAATTATTTCAGTCGTTGCAAAAGTATTATTCACGACCAATTTGATTACTATTTAACGTGCAATAAATTACTGACTAAATGACAGTCTGAGTTTCGAACAATGCACAGTACTGTCACTGCACTGCTCGAAACAACAAATAGGTGGTCGATAAATATCGGCAATGGACTACTCAATGGTGTAGTTTTCATCGACTTAAAAAAAGCTTTCGATGCTATTGATCACGCAATTCTTCTGGACAAACTTGCTCAATACAGGGTTGATGAATACGCATTAACATTGGTTCCACTCTTATCTAACCGATGGTACACAAAGATGTTGTGTAGATGGAAATCTATCTAGTACTCGACCAATCACTTACGGTGTCCTCCAAGGTTCAATAATAGGTCCCCTTTTATTCTTGGTCTATATCAATGACTTGCCAAACTGTCTGAACAATGGCTTATCGAGTATGTACGCGGATGACACAAATATTATGGACTTCAATGATTTGGATTCTTGCACTTCACTTGGTGGAATTAATATTAGAATGTTAGGGTTTGCAATCCAAGTGAGAATATATACATTTCAAGACCTAACCAAAAACGACTGCGAAAAATGCAGCTCAAGGTCCTCTGGTAGGAACCGAACCCACGGCCCCGCGATTCCGGTGCAGCGCTCCAACCAACTTTGTTACTGAGCTACAACTGACCAACTGAGCTACAGAGGCCAGCTGCTAAGCTGTAACCGCAAGTTCATGTACATGCGTTACAGCTTAGCAGCTGGCCTCTGTAACAAAGTTGGTTGGAGCGCTGCACCGGAATCGCGGGGCCGTGGGTTCGGTTCCTACCAGAGGACCTGGTGCTACATTTTTCGCAGTCGTTCCTGGTTAGGTCTTGAAATGTGTATATTCTCACTTGGATTGCAAACCCTAACATTCTGACACAAATATTAGCATCCAAAGCTCTAATCTTACTGATCTTGAAGAAATTATGAACACCGAGCTGAGTAGTTTAAACACCTGGCTCATTGTGAACAGATTAAGCTTAAACATTACTAAAACTGAATTTATGGTAATTGGCTCCCGACAGAGGCTGATGTACCATGATGTTAACAATCTTAATATATGCGTAGATAAAACTCAAATTTTTAAAAAAGTACAGTACACGAAGTCCTTAGGTGTAACAATTGATGAAAATTTAACTTGGAAGAACCATATTGATACTATCTGTAAAAAAGTATCCTCAGGAATTGGTGCCCTTAAACTGAGTGAGGCGATTTGTAAACAGGGAAACTGCGGTGAAAGCGTACAGAGGCTTAATTGAGCCTTACCTTAATTACTGCTGCCCGGTTTGGGACGGTATCGGCAGCGAGCTGAGCAGTAAGTTACAAAAGTTACAAAACCGTGCTGCTCGTATGATCACCGAAAGCATGCAAATATGAAAACTCCTGGAATTCTTTACTGGATGAGTTAAACTGGCACCAGTTATCTATTAATCGCAAAAAGCTTAAAGCAATTCTTATGTATAAAACTATAAACAAAAGGGTGCCAGAATATCTACAAGACATATTTACTTCGCGATCCTTTCCTTACAGATTGAGAAACAATGAAAATACAATATTTGTCCCTAAGCCAATCTAAAGCGCTCATTCAGCGCTCACTGTTTTATGGAATGGTTTGCCAACTGAACTTCGTTCGACCTGTGGTTCGGCACAATCTCTTAGTGCTTTTAAACGAGGTCTAGAATGTTGGTTAGCTTAGACTCACACACAGCAATCATATAAATCAGTACTGTTCTGTTTTTTTGTAACACTATATACATCGTAAATTTATACTGATGATTCTACCGTGTCAAAATAAAGTTTATAATAATAATAATAATAATAATAATAATAATAATAATAATAATGGAAACTTTATTTTGACATTTTATGTATATACAATTATAAATCTCACTAATTAAGGTAATTTATAATTGACTACTTGAACTATTAATTATTGATAAAACTATATTACAGGTATAAAACTAAGAGAAAGCTCATTCTTAAATGTTCATCAAGTCCGGATCTGTCCAATCCTTGTTTCTACAACAAAATATAGTAATAATATTAATGAAAACCTTATTAATAGAACATTTATAGATATATACAATTGTAAATCTCACTTCTTGAGGTAACCTACAATTGACTACTTGAATCAATTATACATGCATGGTTATAATTTTATATACAAAAATTGCTACTTATTTACAGAAATAGTTACTTTAAATGTCCATTAGTTCGGGATTTGTCCATTCTTTATTTCTACAGCAAAATATGTAGTACGTTGATCGGATGGCAATAGATATAATTTTTCTGATACAATATTGTTGGTGTTGATTATCCAGTCCTAACTCATTTAGCATTTTTAAGAATGTATGACATTCTTTGTCAAACACCCCTAGCGAACTGACAGAAAGATTTATAAATTTAACAGATGTAAAGTTTTGATCCAGTTCTCTAATTAGGTTTTTATATTTAGCTTTCTTGCGGTTAACATTGTTTGTGAGGTTTGATTCAAAGCCTACGGTAAGTTCAACGACGTAGAGGTGTTTGTCTGAAGTGGAGACAAGTAAATCAGGACGATATTCATCTCCCGTAATAATCGAGGGGCTTTCAAATCCAGGAAGATCAACATGTAATTTGCATTCGTTTAAATTTTGAAAAGTTTTGCAAGAAAGTTTAGTATGCAATCGTGTCTCCAAGTAAATCGTTCCAGGTAATGTTGACAACCGGCAACAACGTGTAGAAGTGATTATTATTATTATTATAATAATAATAATAATAATAATAATAAAACAATAATACAGGAGTGCGCGGAAATACCAGGTTTCTTTCGAGTGTTGAACATGATATTCTGAAATCCCGAAATAAAAGATGCAAATCTGCAGATACTGACCGATATCTTTGATCCTGGTAAGACCTGGTTTAAAGTGGAAGTCAAGTCCGTAATGTAAACAAACGGTTTGTTGTATTTTTTAAAATATGATGTACTGTCTGAATATCTAACATCATTTTGGTTCTCTATGCTTCTAAATGAATATGAAATAGAGTTTATGTTCACAAATCTTTAGAAATACAAAATGTTTAAAATCTTTAGAAGCGTTATAACATTTTGAGTTATTTGGTCTACAAATCTTTTAAAACAGTTTCCGTTCATTGGCTGTTTTATTAGCTTTCAAAACCTGAAAAATCGCGCCGTGTTGTCGATTCAGCGTCCGGTGTGGCTCGGCCTTTAGTAATACATTGTTTACATTGTTCGGGAAAATTGTGTAATCTAATGAAATATGGTATCGCTTGACCTCTAAAGGTCGTAAAATTCGCTATATAAATGGTGACATCGATAGGAATTGTTTCACTGAATCGAACGGTGTTATTTTGTCTATTTTCATCAGTGGCGGCGCCGCAAATTTTTTTACGTAGACAGTCGGACTCCTCATTGATAGTCGGACGCATCATTTATCCGCGTCCAGGCCTCCGCGCGTTATCAATGAATCCCTTCGTAACCCACTGGTGCCTCATATATCCATCACTCCACTTTGTTCTTCTTCGACCACGTGTAGAAAGATGAACGATTTACTTCGCGATTCCATAATAAATCTACAAACTTGTTTTTCTGGTTCCGAAAATACTCAAGAACGGTTATTGCGAGTTAAAACTATATATCATCCCTTTTGAAGAGAATCAGGATAAGATAACTAGCGTGCGAGGAAATAGTGGAAGATTCAAAGCGACAATCAATACCACTTTCCACAAATAGAAGTATTGCAGAATACCCTGTGTACGGAATACATATCATGTAGCCCGGCCACTATTTCACTGGATACGTATATATCAGATCTTATTGCCTCGTTCTAATATACAAGTTGAAACTAATTACTCAGACAATATTACGAATTGATACAATAAAGGAAATATCATGGAAGACTTTTAATGTTTAATATTATGCTTAGTATGTTTTATAATATAACTGTATTTTCTCCCAGCCGACGCTAATTAATCATAATCTGTCAAACGCCAATGTCCGGTTGTGAGGAACATATTTGCATATTACACCACATTTAAGCTCTCTATAGCATGTGAATTTAATCTACTGCCAACTAATTCGCATTCGCGTATCCACTAAAATATAGAGCTACCTATAGCGTGAGAACAACTTGATCTAATGCTTTAAATCTAACTGTATGCCTCGTTCTCAAAATAACTACTTGATTGCGTATCCGCGTATCCACTAGAATAGAGAGCTACATTTAACACTATGACAATTTAATCTATTAATGCTAAGTCACTATATGCCTCGTAGTTACCTTTACCGGGCCACCATCTATTTATTATTAATCTATTGAGAATAAATGTAGATGTATTAATACATCGTATCCATGATGTTTGAAAGGCATGGCTTAAAAAGTGGATGGGTATTCTGCAATGCCAATCGCTCCTGTCGGATGTCATCACCACACAAGGTATGAAGCCACAATGTGTCCTGCTCAGATTTTGACATCTCAACCAAGCAATACCGATTTTGAAATCACCAATTGCGAGCGACGAGTATCCGCTGAATATTTTGTTTAAGGGCGCGGGTCAATGATGCGTCCGACTATCAATGAGGAGTCCGACTGTCTACGGAAAAAAAATTTGCGGCGGCGCCAGGGGGGGGGGGGGCAAGGGGGGAAAATGCCCCCAAAAATTATTTTTTGCCCCCCCCCCCCATTTTGCGGCTACACAAGCGTTTTGTCGTTATCGGAAAATGTATGGCTTATAAGTTGTCATTACTCATTAGTGAATGCGCGTATACATGAAACTGTTTTTCACAGTTTCAATATTAGTTTGTAAATCTCTGAATGGTAAAATACTCCAATAATACGTTTCAAAAAAGACAAAAAAGCTTTAGTTTTGCAGAGTTAAATTCTCAAACGTGTAAGGCACTAATAAGATGAAAGTATCACGAAATTATTTGAATAAACCACATCGCATATATGGGGGGCGAATATCCTAAAGAGGGGCGATATTCCTAGGGTATTCGCCCCACCCCCCTGGGAGGCGATATTCCTAGGATATTCGCCCCCGTGGTCGATATTCTTAGTAATATCGCCCCCCTTTTGAGGGGGGGGGGGGGCGAATCTCCTGGGGGGCGACCTTTTTAAAAATTCTATCTTGCCCCCAAAAATATTAGTTTGCCCCTCAAATGCCCCCCCCCCAAAAAAAAAATTCGGAGGCCTGGCGCCGCCACTGATTTTCATCCACATACCATGCACTGAAGATATAAACTAATGAACCTCCAAAGTAAACCCACTGGTAAAGCGACGATTTCCGAGCATGCGCTAAGCGCTGTCACACGACAACACTTTTTTAGCTGCGCATGCGCAGGCTAACCACAAAATTTTGACAAAAAGCCGTGAAAAAGGTTATCAAAATATGGCGCTGAAATTATGGCGAAAGTTTGAATGGTTGCGAAAAGCAAGAAATATCAAGCGATTTTATTAATTAAGGTAATGATGTTTTTAATTAACTTTTTGTTTAGAAGCGGTATTTTTTATAAATGGTATTTTGTATAGTAATAGTGTATAATTTTTCATGAATAATTTATATTTTACGACCATGGGCCCATGCCTGATGGCCACGGTTATATTAATATTACACTGTAATAAATGATTTATATTTGGGTGGAGCTGAGATGAACTGAATGAATTGATTTTTTAATAGAAGGTAAAAGAATGGTATGTACAAATTCTACAGCAAACTAGGGTAACATTTGTACTGATAATACTGCTCCAGCAAGAAATCATAGTGAGGTGTCACGGTCACTGTCACCCAGTTCATGGTTCCAGCAAGCAAATATGCAGTTATTTGTTTTGTGGCAACAACGGTGGTCGAGGGGCCACAAAAACACACTGCTTTCCCGATCAGTCTCAGTAAATAAGTGTTTTGTTACAGTATATAGTATATAAGTGTCAAAGTATGAATAATTCACCGGTTATTGGAGTGAACTTAATTTGAAACCAAAACTGCATAAATGGAACGCCGTAAATGTTTAATAAAAGTTTAAAAAATGAACTTTGGAACTTCATGGTTGACACACATGCGTATTGCACCCATTTTATTATTGACCGGTCAATAAATGTTTCATTGTGGACCAGTTGCCTCCTCGGCAAAGCACGCAGTGAACACAACGTTTTGTGGACCAGCATGTGATACGGTTTTGACCAATCGGCAAACAGAAAAATCGAACTTTGACACTAACTATATAACAATATAATTTATGTAGCTAAGCCGCTAGGAGAAAATCTGAGTGAGGAAAATTGGGTCGTTCCAGAAAAGATCCATACTCCCCCCACAGAAGAAATTTCTGCCGTCCGGAGGGGGAGGGGAGAACAAATTGTTTCTGATAATAGTAAATGTATTAGGACATCCAAAGGGGGTAGGGGGGTTAACTTCCTATTTCCTCCATGGGGGTGGTATGGATGTTTTCTGGAATGACCCATTGTGTACTTATAATTGTCTTAGGGCCGATTTACACTACACTACACAACTGAAACTGTTGCTTGCAAGGTTCCTGCTTACAACTTGAGTGTCTCACCTACACGCATAAAAACGTACAAGTTGTAACAAACCTACAGCAGACTTGTAGCAATACTGTTCCAACAACTTGTCCACAGGATGTGTTTGCACTGCTTGTTCCCAGCTTGTTGACAAGTTGTCAACGGCTTGTTGACAACTTGCTACAAGGTTGTTGAGCTCAACAGACTTGTTACAAGTTGTTCCAATAACTTGTTCCAACAACTTGTTATCATCGTGCCATTCAACAAGTTGTCAACAAGTTGTGAGTGACAACCTTATAGCAATTTGATAAAATAACAGCATTGTTACAGCTTGTTGACAAGCTTGTAAGCAGGTTGTTAGCCTGCATAGCAGGTGTTTATCTAGTATTTTGCATGCAGCAGTTTTAGGCAAAACTTATGTAGTGTAAATTGGCCTTTAGAAAATGCACTTGTCAAACATTCTGGTTTCAAGGCAGATTGCAATTACTGTATGTTCTCCATGCACAATTTTCACATGTGCATGCATTGAGATGAAGCCTTGATGGGATATTATCTCACTTTGGAAGAATGTTGTTCCTTGACCTAGCTAGCTTCCACTGTTTTGAGCCATGAAATAATTTAAAATTACACTCAATTTAATTTTGAGTTAGACCCAGAGGGAGGGTGATAAAAAGCCTTGTTAACAAGACTGTAAGAAAACTTACCCTGACAAATGCAGCTGGAAACCATCCAATGTGATCATCAGCCAGACCAAACCACCATTCAGGATCATCAACATCATAAACTGCTATAGCCTGACCAGCTGTGAAACAAAGTTCTTCTTCATTCATTGTAACATGGTCCCATAATGCCTCTGCATACATCAATGGTTTGCCAGTTACCTGCAAAAATATTTTAATTATATTCAATACCCATTGAGTGGCAGCACTCTCAAGTAGGGTGCATCATGATACTGTACATTGCCATGCACTTAAAGGGTTAGCATTAATCATGGTTTTAGCCAGGATCTGAAAACTGGGTGTCTGAATTGGCCATTTTGGGCCATGGTAACTGACAAATACCCTTGGGGTGGGGGGGAGGGCAGGGGTGTTGCATATTTTTTGGCAATTGTCACTAGGTTTCACTAGGTAGCTGCATTCTAATTCTAAAACTACTGTAAAGGGCTAAAATATTGTAGTTGTTTGGAAGTGTTATTGTAAATTGTCACTAAAATACAATAAATACCTTCCCACAAAGCTTTGAAATAATGCAAATGCTTGAGAAAAAGTGTGAATAATCAACAAAAAGTTCAAATAATTTAATAGTTGAACAATAGTTAATGAAATATTTGACTGATTGTCGCCATTCGACTGCAGTTTGTTAATTGTTAAAATCATGACCTAAAAGGATGTCTTCTGTCCAAAAGCCATCATTTTCAATTTGCCAGAATGAATACTTGGTCGACTGACATCACTAGGTCATTATATAAAATCGGTTATCAGGTAGATTGTTGCATGAATAATCGGTAATTTTCCGATTGTGGCACAATCAATCAATCTAATAATGTACAGGTACTGCATAGTATTGGTACATACAGTATCTACTGTATTTCAGTAGCTTTGTTGCTATCTCTTAATATATATATATATATATATATATATATATATATATATATATATATATATATATATATATATATATATATATATATATATATATATATATATTATAAGTAAAGTAAAGTAATTAATTAAGTATAGTAAAATAATATGTGTATAAAGCACTACAGTTCTGTTTCGAGAGGCCCTTTCTAGATCCCCTCTCTTCAGGTGCAGGATCTAGAAAGGGCCTCTCGAAACAGAACTGTAGTGCTTTTCAATTTTTAATGAACATTCTTAGGTTTTAATTTTTAATATATATATATATATATATATATATATATATATATATATATATATATATATATATATATATATATATATATATATATATATATATATGTATATACAGTATATATACGGTATATATATACAGTACTGTATGTGGTTTTAAGTATTCTTATTAATATCTCTGACTCACCTTGTCAGATGTATCATGATCACTACCTTCGTTAGGTTGCTGGAAATTCAAAGACATCATGCTTTGTGCTGTCGATGATTGCTGACTAATACAATCTTTGGGAATAGAGAAAGTTTGGCTTGGAAAGGCACTATCTTCCAATACGCCTTGGTTAATTTGTGTTGTTTTGAGACCATCCAGACAGCCTTTATTGAATGCCAAACATGGGACACTTTGAGAATGAATTTTCTTTTTCATGCTCAGATCCTGAACATCGATACTTGATATGCTTACTGATCTCATACATAATACTTTCTCAGTACTACTATTTAGTACACCAGATGAAGGAGTGTTAGAATTATAACTTGAAGGGGCTTCAGAATTGCAACTTAAATACACTTCACTCTCAGCACTTTGTAGTGAATATGATTTCCCACTATATTTAGTATTGGATTGTACCTCTGCACCTTCTACTTCGATGACATTCTCAAGTAATTCTGAAGGCATGGATACCACACGATTTTGTTTATGGTACACCCTTCGTTTCCGAAGGATAACTCCCTGATCTCCCATGATCCCAACATAGACCCCCTCGCTAGTTGGTGATGTCGTATCTTTGGACTGTGATAACAGTTCACATAAATTATCACTACAAGAGTCATTCAACTTGTGTAGAGATGATGTCTCATTCAGGTCAAGTTGTTCAGATAAAATTGGAAACTTTCCAGCAAGTGCAGTTAAACTTTTAGATTTATTTTTCATCAAAGCAGGAGGTTTAGGGGCTGGCTTTTTTGGTGGTCTGGTAATAAGTACATCATGGCAAGTGTCACTTTGCTTTGATAACCGTGAAGATCTGCATTGCATACATCTCATTGATACTACAGGTCTATCATTGAGATCAGTGAGTTGACCCAAGGATAGTTTATGAAAATCTTTAGGTTTAATAGTTCTCCATCCACTGGCCTGTGCCTGGCAGTTTTTACATACATATGTTATTGGCTTTGCACCAATGTTGTTTTTAATACTGACACTTGATGCCTTGTCATCAGAATCTTTTGCTGGTTGAACATGCACAATTTGGCCTTCATTCAATGAGCTTGAATTTGGTGTCACCCCTCCACATGATGTTTTTGTTGCCTGGGCCACTTGTTCCACGTTTCTATTTATGTCAGAAACAGGTAGACCAGCTAAAGATATGCCTTTGCCATTTGGTGTACCAGAGAAATAGGAATCTGCTGATATTTTTCTATTTACTATGTTTTCAGTTCCTGATATCTGTTCTTTCGACTCAGTTTCTTTACTACATTCGGGCAATGGTTGGTCACTAGAGCCCAAAAATAGATTTGGTGAGCTACCCGTGGAGTCGTCTTCTGCAGTTAAATAAACATCGTCATCCTCAGTAATATTTCCAAAACTACCTAAACTATCACTACACTGTGGCACCTCTGGTGAGACTTGGTCCCAGTCCTCCCATATTCCGCTGGGATTCTGTACGTCAATGTTAACAGGTAAACTTTTTCTATTCTCCTGTCGGTGTTTACTTGCGCTATTCCTTCGGATATTTGGAGTAGTTTTATTTGAAAGAAGAATTTCTTTTCTATTTGAACTTGATGAAGGGCTTAGAGTTAGACTACGATTGCGTGATACTGGGCTTGCGAGATTGCCTTCGCTCTTTGCATGTTTATGCCATTTAATGTCAATTAAAGAAGCCCGAGAACGCCGGAGGGAATGATATCTGTCTTCGCCTAAATCAAGAGAATCTCCGGAGCTCGATACATAACCGGGATCTCTTAAAAGTTTTACATCCGTAAGCAATTTGAAATTGCCTTCTTGTTCATTGAAATTCCCGGTTGATACTGATAGACCTCGTCCTCGGCGTTTTAAGTTCTTTTCAGACGAAGCCCGGCTTGGTAGTTTAAACCAACCTGAAAATAATGATAAACGTTTATTCTTACGACCGTTCAAATGACTTCTGCTTCTTTTTGCGTCGCTATCTAGTCTCTCGAGGCCATTCAAGGATTTATTTTTGCCATTTTGTAGATCTTGTTGTGAAGTGCTCTGATGATTTTTGTTACCCCGCACTGTGTCGCCTTTTGTACGTCGATGAAATCCTTTTCTTTTCTTAACATTAATCTTGCTGTTATCAGATGGAATGGGTGGATTTAAATTAGGACTATCTTTGGACGAACAACCGTTTAATAATGGCGATTGCCTTTCATTGCAATTTTGTTGCCAACCATTTAATTCAATATTTTCGCTGCATCTATTATCAAATGTAATATCCGCAATGGTATGTTGTCCATTCTTGTTTTCGAACGAACATTCCTGTACTTCATTCTGGTCTTGATTCCTTTCAAATTCCTTTAATTTTGTTACTTTTTTCTTCGATAAACTTCTTCGTAAAGAATGAAGTCTTCGCTTCCATTTATTACCCGTAGAGTCGACATTTTCTTGATTTATACTTGAGGATTGTGACATCTTCTCAGTTTCAAAACTCTCGTTCTTTCGTCGTCGTTTTCGTTTATTTGGAGTTGTATTCATGACACTTATCCTTTCCCAAATTCCATCGAGCTGTTAAAATCCACTCGAATGCTTTTAACAGTCAAAGTAATTTAAACTCAAGTTCCAGCACACAATGTTTACATTTCAACTCAACCTCGAATGCCAACGACCAGTAAATTTGTTGACGGTTGTTTGCGCAACATATATCAAAACATACTTATAACAACGAGTCCTGTATTTCATATAGTCATTGTAGATACAGATGGCTAGCTAAACGGCGGGTAAACAAGAAAATTATTTACACGTACTCTATCTATGCAAACGATGCTACTGTATATGTAAATATATTTTTCGATACTAAACTCTCACACACTTTAAGCCACTTAATATTTCATTACACGGTAACCACGCTCTTCCGGTGTCAGATTGTTGTTAGGGAACTGCTTGGGTTCACACTTGGATTCATCGTAGTTCAAAATGAGAGTCAATCAATTTGAAATAAAAGGCAATACTGTTCTAGATTCTGAAACAATATATTGGATTTTTCGAATTCAAATATTGTTATACTGTCACAAATATAATTTATGGGTTTCTTTGATGTCTGTGAAAGTTGGCAGGATCTTTGTTTTGAATTTTTGACAGCACAAGACCGCATTTTCCTTGTAACGCCTTACTGCAAGTGGGCGAATTTAATCCCTCTGTCATCCTAAGTAACAGCTAGCTCTGCTGCTTCTCTAGTTTTTATGATTGAAATCTTTCTTTGAATCGATTAAATCCAAGCAGCCATCCACTATAATTGGATTCCTAATAGCCTGAAGAATATAATTAAATGCTTCACTGAAGTTTGAGTGTAAAATAAAGTTAAATTACGTTTTATAGATATACGTACTTACGTGTTTCTCAATATTTGTTTTTATCTTTGTTTATTTCCCTGCGAAATATCGGAGACCCATTTAGTAATTTTATTTTTAATTGAATGAGTAAATTTGAAAATACGAATGAAATAATATGTATGCAATGCATGAAGAAATAAGGAAAATCGTGCTTATAACAGATAATCATCGACACTGGAATTTGAACAGAAACGATTAACTGACATTGCATTGCAGGAAGGCGCTGGAATGCTAGATTTTAAAATAGTTTTGTTTTGGTAGATACAAATCACACAATATTATTGTCTTGTTTAACACGTTATTAAACCCGTTTTTATTTCGACAAAACATCAGTGATAGTGGACTAAATTCATGCATGCATGCATGTATAGTGATTTAACTTTGTTTTGAATCTCAAACAGAGCCTGCTGATGATACGCGTGCGGTGGCATATTGAGAACTATAATAGTTGACAATTATCAGATCTGGGTCGTGGGAAACATGTATAATATGCAAATGAGCACGGCGTTTTTGCAAGAACATGTCTGATGTCTATAATGCACAATACTATTGATACAATATAGTGTATACAATATATAATATTGAACTTATCTGTGTTGGTTGGGGATGGTATATCAACATGAAAAAAAGCGCATGCATGAATATGTGATATAAATAGTTATAGGCAGAAATAGTTAATAGCAGGTGGTAAATATTATGCACTTACTACCGCGTCCTTTCATACCCGCTCCTACTGGTATAAGTTATTCTTTAATTACGACACATAGGCCTGTTTCAAACGTCGCGCTTCTCATGTGCCGAACACATCAGAAACAATTGATGATGAGGCATTTCAGCTGATTATCTATTGTTTTTAATGCGTTCGGCACATGAGAAGCGCGACGTTTGAAACAGGCCGTAGTGTACATGACATGTGTTTTGTAAAATTGATCAGAGTTTGGCTTTTTGGTCGAGGGTTGAGGGTCGAGGGTAACCAGTCGAGGGTCGAGAGTGAGGTCGAGGGTCGAAATCTTTAAAATTTTGGCCCAATTTCTAAACGAGCATACAAAATTATAAATGAATGATATTATAAATTAATGTAGTTTCAATGACTGTTGTGAAAGACGCAAGCGGTACACGCTCGTTCGAATATCTGCTTAGTTGACTGTTTAAAGTTGAACTGCAAATTAAAGTTCAAATCCCGTTCAAATTAACTAATGATATATCCCTGATACTTTCAGTGAAACTTCGTTAATTCGAACGGGATTTCAGTGAAACTTAGTTAATTCAACGGGATTGACAGTCAACTAAGCTGATATTCGAACGAGCGTGTACATTAATTTGTATGCTCGTTTAGAAATTAGGTCAAAATTCAAAAAAATTTCGACCCTCGACTTCACCCTCGACCAAAACCCAAACTCAATTTATGATATCCAGCGACAGTTAATTGCTGCCGAGCCTCAGCTCGGCAGCACACTATTCTTAACGTTACATGACGTTCTTGCTTTTTCGTGTCCAGTCCCCGCGGCCGAGTTATGTATAGTCGAATAGCGATTTTCACTCGGTGGAGATTTCGGCATTCCAGGGGGCTCATTAAGTATTCAAGTTGGTTTGTAAAATGAGGGGGTTGTTCAACAAAATTTTCTTCAATGATGCGAGCAGGCTACTCAAATATGTGTCTTTTAAGTGTTTCACCCGAAATTTTCAGTACATAAAGCAGTAATATCTGTATGTTTAGTTCATATACTTAGTGTTTATTTATCGATGTGATGAACCGATTTAATAAAGTTGCGAATATCGAGGGTAACAGCCTGGGTTCATGCTACCAGCTACCTAGTTATGGCTACCTACTACAAATCGCTGGCTACTATGTATATGAAAGAGTTTAAGAATTTATAAATTATTGTTTGTTCAAAGTCGGGTAATGTATTGTCATTATAATTTTATTATGACATTAGTCAAATGTCCACAATGGCACAATATGTCTTACAGTATTAAAATTCGCGCAATACTAGAATTCGCGCAGCGCTGGGTGAGCAAATTTTAGCACTGCGCGAAATATAATCCGCGCGCAAAACGTTGTGGTAGTAAAGATAAAGCGTGCGTTTAAAATAACAAGGACTAAAACACTTATTGCATGGTTCTCATTTGCCTAATATTAATACAATAATAGTACGACGCGAATTTTAACAAGTAAGGTATGGTTTCATATTTCATTTATATATAAACAAACAATGTAAACTAGCCATACATTTCGCCGAACATAACTTCGGCCCCTTTGGACATATCTTTTTCGTTATAGTCTCATTCGAACCAGAATCCAAAACACTATTCACAGTGTTATTTTCAAGCTTGTGTCTTCAGATTTTCACCTTTTATTTCGGTATTTACAGAAAATTTATATTTTTAGCGCGGCCCGTGAAACGTTCCTACATCAAAACAGCTGTTTACATCCTAGGGGTTTGGAAAAACCGGAAATCGATTCTACAGGTCAAAGTACTCCCAGTGGCATGCTTTGCACGTGCATCGGACGCAAGCATACACGTGGCGCGCGCGTGCGAGTAAAAACCCTATATTTTGAAAAATTCAAAATAAATATTTCTACTCGCCTTATTCAAACGAAACTTCCTACACAAAAGCGCTTTAATACAAGGAGTATTTTACTCATATTGACTCCAGCGACGTGCTGGGGTCTTGAAAAAAAGGACGACGAATGAGCAACGTCTGATGCGGCCCAGGCCCAGTGACGGGATGGGTCAAGATTGGGGCGGGGGGTATTACTGATCAAACATGAAACATTTCAGTAATGTTTTCGTAAATTTAGATTTTTTAAATATAATAAATTGTAATATCTTGATCTTGATTTTCAGAATTAAAATCTATATTTTAAAGTTAAAATCTGCAATTAGAAACAACAAAAATCGTAAAAATTTAAATTGGGGTGACGAGAAATTAAGTCGTTTACTGGCACTGACGAGTAAAATTGTCTGGCGTTGATAGCAGGGCC